CCTGAATGTTCGTACAGTAATACTGGCAGATGCACCTTGGTCATCAATTCTAATCATCTTAGATTACAAACCTTTCAAAACTTAAAAGTAAAGATCATGCACCCTTATTGTTCAGATTGATAAAGTCTTTTCCATTCGTCGACATTATCTCCGATTTAAATACTATTGATCTGATAACCGCTGTGTATACTTTAAGGACCGGGCTAGTTTTCTTATCAGTTAAGTAGTAACACCCCTTGTTAATGTGATATGTTGTAATCAATCTATTTATTGTTACCATCTTTATATAATATTTCATTGTATAATTTAAATTTGTGATTCATTTAATATTTAAATATAATAATTTAATTTTTTTTATTATAGATACAAACAAGGAAATTTGAAAGTCTTTGATTCATTAATCACCTTAGTTCAATTCATAAGTCAGGCGGTCTATTTTGTCTACATTAATTTGTAAGAACACCGGTGTAATTACAGGGATGAAAACAATCTACGTTGGCATTATATAATATCGATGGCTTTGAAACAAGAAAGGAAAACATTGTACAATATAAAACGAGAAATAATTAGAACAAAATACAGACATTCTTGTTTAGCGAAATCAAAAACGAAAAACGAAAACACTTTAATTGTTTTTCATTTTGGTTTTTGAGAAATCAAAAACGAAAAATAAAAAACACTTTGAATTCATTTTCCGTTTTGGTTTTTGAGAAATCAAAAACGAAAAATGAAAACACTTTCGTTTTTCGTTTTTTGTTTTTGAAATCTCAAAACGAAAAACGAATGGACGCAAATATACACGGACCCTAGAGGTCCTTCTTTCGAGACAGCCGCTAATATGCGGCGGAATTAAACATGTTTTGTAAGACTTCAACCCTTTTAACATCCTCTAGCTAGTGTATAAGAAACAAACACACAGCAATACCCATAGGAAAATTCAATTAATCAAGAAATAAGCAAAATGACAATGATCAACCTAAATCAACTAAGGATTACTAGCAGGTACCGACATGCTTCAGAGGCGGGTCCAGCCATTTTTAAAAGGGGGTCCCAACCCAGGATAAAAGGGGGGGTTCCAACTATATGTCCCCATTCAAATGCATTCATCGTCAAAAAGAGGGGGTTCTAACCTTGGATTCGACACTGTGCTTTATTAAGAGTTATGCTACTGTATGTCTTCATTTTAACCGAAATCATTAACAATCCTAAGATGTTAGATTTTTTGGTATCTAGCATGGATGAATTGTATTTTATGTGATAAATCTAAAAACTCTTTCGTTAATGTTTGTCACCAAGGGTAGCAAGATAAAAAAGAAAGTGTTGATCCCTGTATTAAAAAAAATCGTTCTGTTCACATTGTTTCCAATATTTCTTTATTTTAATTAAAATTGTCTGATATCATTCCTTACTACCATTTTTAACAACTCCGGAATGATTTTATACATTGCGATTAAATTTTAGAACACAAATGCTGATGTTTAACAGTGCCACTGTATCTTAATTATGCAAGAAATGATGTACAGTCAATGGATATTTGTGTTGTTGGTCACTCTCAGGATGAGTTAATTTCTATATATAGAATTTGATAAATATAAGGAAAGCTCCAAACATATATTTTTTTTTAATTGTTTAATTTACGAGTGCCACAATTTCTTCCATTTTACAAATCATCTAAACCTATCTGAAACTAGCCATTTAAGTACCACATGAGTTATTTGTCATTAAAAGTAGCTTAATATGACAGTTAAGATACTTAAACGTTTGTAACTGAATAAGATTTTAATTATTTCTTTAGTTTAATTGCAATTAAGAACATTTATTGGCAGTACATACTTTTTTTACGAAGAGGTGGAGTTTTTTTTGGTGTTAAGTTTAGTTCGTACTGTGTCAATAAATCTTCTCTTTATTGAAAAGAATTTACCGTCATGGGATATTTGTACATTTCAAAGTGGGTTGGTTTTGATGAAATGAGATACACAACAGAAATGTTTACTGTTGATTATGAGGGCAAAGATTTCCTGATTCTTTACTTACTTTGTACTTTATCGAGACATTGTATACTTTATACTGAATGTACTATCAATATAAAAAAAAGTTTTGTTGGCGTCTTTGTCAAATTGATTATCAACATCTAAAACGTTTTTCTCGGGTTCTTCATTAAATATATTCGTCTGTTTGTTTGAAATATGTAGTCATTTGTGTGTATGCGTGTGATGTATGTTTACACAGTTTTGGTCACACTAACCTATTATGACTGTTTTGGTTGTTCACCCAAGTTCATCAATGTAACAGATATATAAACAACTGTCCTACTCGTAGGAGGTTTAGTTAGCTAGCAAATCAAGTGTAAGCCACCACGTTCTTCGGAAAATGTCTGTACCAAGTCAGGAATATGACAGTTTTTCTCCATTCATTCCTCCGATTGATAAAGGCTCGCGTTTCAGTTTCACTTGATTTTGAATTTACCTTTGAGTTCGGTATTTTTTCCTTTTTTACTGGCAGTGGTAGGTTGTTTTCATGAAAGGTAATAATGTCTTTTTTGTTGGAAATGTTTGGAGAATCTAATATTATTTCTACCTCAGAACGGGTTGTTCAGTTTTATAGAATAAAAAAAAAAAACTAGAATACATATCCTCTGTTTGCAATGACCCGTTGAAGTGTCATTATAAAATTCATAGTTTTTTAATTGTTTTCCCCTACCAAATGTGTATGCTGATTAGTAAAACGTAGAGGTTATATACTTACATCATTTCTAAGAATGTTAGCCAGCTATTTGGTCGATTGGTCAACATTGCTGTTGCCCAAATCTTACCACCTTGAGGTTTCCTTCGAAAAGATTCTTCTACCTAAAGTTTTTTTATGAAAACAATTATAATATACACAACACTCTTTATATATAAAACAAAAATCAGAATGTTCGCAGAGATATATCTAGTATACATGCTAATGATGATCTGACATATAATGTACTTATTTATATGATTTTAAGATCAACTCAATTTTCGAACTTTTTTTGATCCAGGGGTATTGTAGTCATACAAAAAACAAAAAAGACATTTGGTCATACAATCAATTAAAAAAATCATTAAAAAATCAAACTAAGTTGGAGTCTTTGAAGCCTTTTGTTATGTCACACTCCGGAAATTACGGATCTGTCCGTCATTATGTCGAATTTTATTTTTGATGTCTGCCACACGGCAAAGCTAAACAAACTTTTCTTTGGTATTCAACCCTCCACAGGGTGAGTTTTTGTTATACTGTAGTTTTTAACCTTCATTTGTATGTCTGATATACGTATTTAAAGTCTAAGGTCAGTCCATTTGAATTTAATTGTGATTTCAAACGATTCTCAGGAGTCATATCTCATGTCACACTTATTTTGTATTTTACATGTTAAATTAAGCATTCCGATGTTTATATGATGGTTATTTTTATTCCTGCATTTATTATACACCAGTCCTAGTCAATTTAAGCTTCTTAATTCTCGATTTTTGATATTACTCCGTCAGTTTGTCAAAATATTTTTTGTATGGAACGCCATTAGAGCCATATATTTAGGCGTACGTTTTTTCTTAAAACAGTATGTGTATAGAACGCTTTTCGTGTTATAATTTTGTTATCTAAGATGTAATTCTATGGCACTTTTTGATCATTTTTTTGTTGTTTCATAAGATGGACATATTTTTCAATGTATGGAGAACATTGTTGATATTAATTGTACCATTATTTTGTGAACATTGTCGATTGTGAACATTGTGCTTATTAGATTTCATTTTTGTATATTTTCAGTTTTTTACCCTCTCTGGAGGTCTGCAATAATAGATAGTAACTCAGGTTTCAGCGTATCTTTGACATTACAGTAAAAAACCTTGGTATCGGGAAGAATAAACATGGATTCAGAAAGAACTTTGCGTGAGGCAAGGAGACTTACTCCAGAAGGACAATTGGTGTTTGAGGAGAGTGTAAGACAGTTTACTTCAAAACTACGAATTCAACACAGATATATAGACATGATTATGGGAGATATACATGAGCACACCCAGATGACTAAAACATTAGCTTGTACTTACAAGCAAGAACTAATGAAACATTTAAAGGAATATGAAGAAATTTCTCGCAAATATGACGACTATTTGGTTTCTCAACGGTGTGACGAAAGTTCTCGTGAGAGAGCTTCACATAGTATGATTGCTAGTTCAATACAACAGAAAGCCTCTATAGTAATAGATAATCTGGAAACAATGTTGCAAGCCTTTGATATGGAAGAACTACATAAAGTTAAAACTGAACAATTATCAGAAATCATTCAACCACCGGACGCCTTTAGAGAACCGTCAGATATTGGTGTCGATAGAAAATCTAGATGTTCAAGAGGAAGTTCTCATCTTTCTCGGCAAAGAGCCAAAGTTGAAGCCGCAAAAACCAGAGCAAAATTTGCACAAGAAGAAGTTGAACTTATGCGTAAACAAACAGCCATACAAGCAGACATGAAACTTTTAAGTGTGAAACGTGATATAGAGGAAGCTGAATGTGAACTCAGAGTCTTGAATGAGAATTTTGATGACGATTGTGCTATTTCAGAACCAAATAAAGAAGACATCCAAAGACGTACTGCAGAATTCATACTAAAACAAACTGATCAAAATGACAATACGCCTTTAACTCAAAACTTAAATGTTGATGCACCTACGTTTATACCAGCAGTAGTAAGTCAAATCCCTACTGCCACGTTTACTCAGACAGACGCATGTAGGGAGTTTACTCAATTCATTGTTAAAAAAGACTTGTTATTATCAAGGCTCTGTAAATATGATGACACGCCTGGATATTTCTTAGCTTGGAAAGCTAGTTTTACAAATGTAATGCGTGAATTAACCGTTACTCCGTCTGAAGAAATAGACTTATTGGTTAAATGGTTGGGACCCGAAAGTTGCAAACAAGCATTGAGCATTCGAGCAGCTAATGCAGAAAACCCATTTCAAGGTGTAGCCAGGATTTGGGCTAGACTTCAAGACAGATTTGGAAGTCCAGAAATTGTAGAAAGTGCTTTGCGTAAGAAACTCAATAACTTTGCCAAAATAAGTAATAAAGACAACAAACGTTTATTTGAGCTTTTTGATATAGTTTCAGAAATAGAAGCAGTTAAAGAGAATGACATGTATAGAAGTATTTTTAGTGTTTATGACTCATCGGCTGGCGTAAATATTATTATAGCAAAACTTCCATATAATATCCAAGAAAAGTGGACATCAGAGGCCACCAGATATAAGATTCAAAACCACTTGGTATATCCACCATTCACAGTATTCACCAAGTTTTTGCAAAGGATGGCAAAAATGAAAAATGACCCCAGTTTTTTCTTCGAGGATTGTCGAGAAGTCAAAGTACAGAATACTACTAATGCAACCAACAATCGTTATGGAAACACAAGAAATCAGTTATCTTGTGCACGTACTGAAACATCAGTGTTGAAACCGTTAGCAGATAAAGTAAAAAGTTCAGACTTGGTATGTCCTGTGCATGGAACAAGTCACTTATTGAATGATTGTAGAGGTTTTCGCATGAAACCGATTTCAGAACGAAGGGAGTTCTTAAAAAAGAATGGAATTTGTTTTCGCTGTTGTGGGCCTAAGCGCCATCTAAGAAGAGACTGCAAAGAGTTCTTGAAATGTTCAGTCTGTCAGAGTCGGGAACACCCTTCTGGTTTACATACCGATATAGAAAGTATTAAAAAGAACAACCCCCAGAATCTCACGAGGGGGAGAATGAATCAAGAGAAGTTAAGACAGCATGTACACAAATATGTGGTCAAGTAACTGGCACAAGTAAGTCATGTTCAAACTAATGCTAGTAAAAGTGTATCCAAAAGGAAAACCCGAACAATCACGAATGATGTATTCTTTAATAGATGACCAAAGTAACAGGTCATTGGCCACTTCCAACTTCTTTTATTTGTTTTGTGATAATGGACCTGAAACTGAATATGTTTTGTCGTCTTGTGCAGGAAAATTCACAACATCTGGACGTTTAGCTAAGGACTACGTGGTAGAAGCTTTAGATGGGTCTTGTGTGTTTGATTTACCAACTATCATCGAATGTAATGATATTCCGAACAATAGACAGGAAATAGCGTCGCCTAATGTGGCTATTCAGTATCCTCATCTTGTAGACATTGCTCCTTACATTCCTGAAATCGATGAGCATGCACAGATTGATCTTTTGATAGGAAGAGATTTGATATCAGTACACCATGTACTCGATCAGCGTCTTGGCAAAGGTAACCTCCCATATGCACAGAAGCTGCCTTTAGGGTGGGCAATAATTGGTGAAGTGTGTCTCGGGAAAACTCATCCGCCTGGCATTCTAGATTGCGTAAATGTGAACAAGACTACCATTTTGAGTAATGGCCGTGCTACTTTTCTTAAACCTTGTCAAAATGAATTACTAATAGATACGAACGTTTTCCGTACAACTGACAAAGATGAAAAAATTGGATCATCAATTGAAGACGATACATTCCTGAGGATCATGAATTCAGGTTTTGTTAAAGATTCAGATGGTTGTTGGGTTGCTCCATTGCCCTTCCGTGAGCATCGGCCAATATTAGAAAACAACAAACAATTAGCTTTAAAGAGAGCAAAATCTTTCGATTACAGCTTGAAAATTAATTCTACAAAACGAGAACATGTCATACAATTCATGCAGAAAATCATCGAAAATGGTCATGCTGAAATAGCGCCACCATTGGCTATATCGTCTGAATGTTGGTACTTACCTATGTTTGGGATATATCACCCCAGAAAACCTGACAGTATCAGAGTTGTATTCGATGCATCCGCAGTGTGTAATGGTCATTCATTAAATAACATTCTGTTAAAGGGACCAGACCTCACGAACAGCCTGTTAGGGATTTTGCTTCGTTTTCGAAAAGAGGCTATAGCGGTAACTGCTGACGTCGAACAGATGTTCTATAATTTCAAAGTCAGTGAAGAGCATCGTAATTACCTTCGTTTTATTTGGCATACTGAAAATGACATTGAAAAACCATTGATTGATTACCGTATGACTGTTCACGTATTTGGCAACAGCCCCTCGCCGTCAGTGGCAACTTATGGACTTAGGAAATCTGCTGAAACTGCTGATCAAGATGTGAAGGAGTTTGTAGATCGCAACTTTTACGTGGACGATGGTCTATTGTCGTGTCAAAATGTTGAGACAGCTGTTGATTTAGTTAAGAGAACACAAAATGCATTGTTAAGTGGTGGTAATCTTAGGTTACATAAAATAGCCTCAAATAGCAAATATTTGTTAAGCCAGTTTCCCGTTGATGATCTGGCTAAAAATCTCAAAGATCTGAAATTTGAAAATGGCTGTTTACCTTTGCAAAGAAGCCTAGGTATGGCTTGGGATATTAATACTGACTGTTTTACCTTTCAAGTAGCACATGACATCAAGCCATTTAGCAAGCGTGGCGTATTATCAACGATCAATTCTCTTTTTGATCCGATTGGCTTTACAGCCCCTGTTTCAGTTCCTGGTAAACTTCTCTTACGTGATATGATGACTTCACTAGGACACACTGAATGGGATGACCCATTACCTGATACTTACCTACATCCATGGAAACAGTGGATTAATACGTTACCTGATCTTGAGCAATGCTGTATTCCGCGTATGTATAGTGACATCTCCTATGCAGAAGCTTCGAACAAAGAAGTTCATATCTTTTGTGATGCTTCAAAAGAGGCAATAGGTGCGGTGGCTTATTTGAGATTAATTGACTCACACCATGTAACGGTTAGTTTTTTATTGGGAAAGGCGAAGGTTGCGCCTTCACATGGGAATACTATTCCTCGATTAGAACTGTGCGCCTCTGTTCTTGCGGCAGAATTATCTGATCTTGTCAAAGAGCATTTAGGTATAGATCAAAGTGAAATGTACTTTTACTCAGACAGCAAAATAGTGTTAGGTTACTTGACAAATGAATCAAAGAGGTTTCATGTATACGTTGGAAACCGAGTACGACGAATTCGAGTCTCTTGTGATCCAAAAAGATGGAGACATGTTTCAACCGAAAATAATCCGGCAGATATCGCAACACGAGGAATTAACCCTGCAGAGTTATCGAATAGTATATGGATGAAGGGACCAGCATTTCTTTATAACGTGTCCCTTGGAAATTTAGATAATGGTCCACATCAGTTGGTTGATGCTGATAGTGACAAGGAGATTCGCCCAGATGTGCAAGTAGCTAAAACACAAACTGTAGATCGAAATAATGTACATAAATTAGGAACACATAGATTCTCAACATTTTCAGAATGGAGAACTTTAGTCAGAGCAATTTCCTTATTGAAACAACTTGTTAGAAATCTGGCACACCATAACGATAAACTTGAACATTTAGATGCATACAAACAACCAGATGCTTTGAAACGAGCCCAACAATTCATAATTCGTGAGGTTCAAATGGAAAATTATAGAAACGAAATAGACAATATCAGACAGGGAACATCGTTACATAACAACAGTTCTCTCTCGCAACTATCGCCCATACTTGATGTTGATGATACCTTAAGAGTTGGTGGTCGCTTGCGAAATTACAAAGATTGTGCAGATCTTTCAAAACATCCTATTATCTTACCAAAACACCACCATATATCATTACTTATTGTTCGACATTTCCATGAAAAAGTGGCTCATCAAGGCAGAAGCCTCACAGATGGTGCTATCCGTACAGCTGGTTTTTGGATTTTAGGCAGTCGTCGTTTAGTTTCTTCAGTGCTTCATAAATGTGTGATATGTCGTAAGCTTCGTGGTTGTTTCGGTTGGCAGCAAATGGCAGATTTGCCTGAGGACAGATTAAAACCATCACCGCCATTTACATTCGTCGGTGTTGACACTTTTGGCCCATGGCCCATAGCTTATAGACGCACTCGTGGTATACCAGCTAATCAGAAAAGATGGGCACTTATGTTCACATGCCTCGTCAGCAGAGCAATTCATATAGAGGTCATAGAGGAGCTCAGCAGTGCTTCATTTATAAATGCGTTGCGTCGTTTCATTGCCTTAAGGAGTGAAGTTAAGCAGTTCCGTTCTGATAGGGGAACAAACTTTGTTGGCAGTTCAAAAGAGCTAAATATGATCACTGACTTTGTTGAAAAAGACTCTGTGAGAAGTTTTCTCTCAAACAACGACGTCTTGTGGCTATTTAATCCTCCACACGCCTCCCACATGGGAGGAGTGTGGGAAAGGATGATTGGTGTTTCACGAAAGATTTTAGATTCTATGTTACTACGAGAAGGTTCAAAAACTCTTACTCATGAAGTACTTACTACCTTGTTATCGGAGGTAACAGCAATTGTAAATGCGAGACCCTTGGTTCCGGTGTCAGCTGACCCAGAATCACCATGTGTACTTTGTCCAGCAATGCTTCTCACACATAAAATAAATCAGGACAATGTATCGTTTCCAACATTCGGAAATAAAGACATGTTGAAATCTCTATGGAAGCACACTCAGGTTCTAGCAGAAGAGTTTTGGAACCGCTGGCGTAACGAATATTTAAACCGTCTACAAACTCGACAAAAATGGACCAGTGAATACAGTAATATGAAGGAAGGCGATTTAGTACTCTTAAGAGACCGTGAATGTGCTCGCAACTATTGGCCAGTCGCAATTGTTGAAAAGACATTCCCTAGTTTTGATCAGAAAGTCAGAAAGGTTCAAATTCGTGTTGTGCGTGATGGGAAAGCAGTTAGTTATGTTAGACCAATCAACGAACTAGTAATGTTGGTAGAGCATGTGGAACTAAAACAAAGTGAAACAGATTAATGATTATAATTTTAACTCGTTGAATCTTCGGATAGTCAGAACATTTTATAACATTTTGCATTGATAATTTGTTTATGTTATTTTCAAATTTGTTTATGAATTGGTGATTTCAGTTTTGAAATCAGAGGGGGAGTGTTATGTCACACTCCGGAAATTACGGATCTGTCCGTCATTATGTCGAATTTTATTTTTGATGTCTGCCACACGGCAAAGCTAAACAAACTTTTCTTTGGTATTCAACCCTCCACAGGGTGAGTTTTTGTTATACTGTAGTTTATAACCTTCATTTGTATGTCTGATATACGTATTTAAAGTCTAAGGTCAGTCCTTTTGAATTTAATTGTGATTTCAAACGATTCTCAGGAGTCATATCTCATGTCACACTTATTTTGTATTTTACATGTTAAATTAAGCATTCCGATGTTTATATGATGGTTATTTTTATTCCTGCATTTATTATACACCAGTCCTAGTCAATTTAAGCTTCTTAATTCTCGATTTTTGATATTACTCCGTCAGTTTGTCAAAATATTTTTTGTATGGAACGCCATTAGAGCCATATATTTAGGCGTACGTTTTTTCTTAAAACAGTATGTGTATAGAACGCTTTTCGTGTTATAATTTTGTTATCTAAGATGTAATTCTATGGCACTTTTTGATCATTTTTTGGTTGTTTCATAAGATGGACATATTTTTCAATGTATGGAGAACATTGTTGATATTAATTGTACCATTATTTTGTGAACATTGTCGATTGTGAACATTGTGCTTATTAGATTTCATTTTTGTATATTTTCAGTTTTTTACCCTCTCTGGAGGTCTGCAATAAAAGATAGTAACTCAGGTTTCAGCGTATCTTTGACATTACACCTTTAGCCTTTATCGTCGATGATGAAATTATGCGAATGAGGTGATTGTCATATAACACATGTTTTTGAATGATATTCAGCTAACCAAATAATGAAGTTTATGTTATATGTGAACTTTGCAGAAAACAAGGGTTCGATTCGATTATCTATAATAAAGTTAAATGTTAATGCTTGATCGTTCTAAACAGCCTTAATACATATATTCACTTTTAAAACGGGAATGCCTTATCGTTGATAGTTTCCAGTACTGATTTATTGATGTACTTCAACATGTATCTGTATATCAAAGATATTTGTACTATTTCAAGATGAACACGTGGTATGAATTGATTTCATTTTCAAATTAAAGAAGTAAGATCTGCTATATCGTATAACCTGAGATTTGCAATCACCAATAGTTTTGGTGTTTGATATTATAGCATCCAGACTGCTGTTTTTTAATAATTTTTATCACCTGAAACGCAGCAGTGCAATACAAATGAAAAACAGTTTAAAAAAACCCGTTGAGAGACTTTTTGAAATCTAATACATATTATATATAGATATATAGATTACATTCCCCATTTCCATTCTCAATTTTATTGTCATTGTTTGCAGATTGTAATGTCTTAATAATTTACCATGACTGTATGCTCATGGACAAAACCACATCGAATCAGTTGAATTATCCCAGCTTTGTCTTTTACAAAAAGTTATACAACGGTCGATAATACACAATTTGTACTTAGCAATATTAAATTATAAATATAGTATTGCCTTTTTTAATAGCGCATATATATATAATAATAAGATCCATTTTGTTACATCTGATGATCAGTTTATTTGGCAATCGCCAATGGCAGTCAGCAGGGTTTATAAGAACATCAGTTGTTCGACCTGCTAGTCAAATGCGTTTTGTCAAAATGTACTTTTTCACTTTTTTGGTCTTTTGGAAAATGTTGTTTGTGCTGTATTTAGACCCCTCTACCATGACATTTGTTTTGCATGCACACGTATAAAAATTGCGGTTTTTATCCAACGCAATCATAGGTTTGAACGTTGTTTTCAATTTAGACTTGGTTTATATATATATATATGTTGTTTGTGCTGTATTAAGACCCCTCTACCAAGAAATTTGTTTTGCATGCACACGTATAAAAATTGCGGTTTTTATCCAACGCAATCATGGGTTTGAACGTTGTTTTCAATTCAGACTTGTTTATATATATATATATATATATATATATATTGTTCTATTTCTGAGTGGTTTTAACCCTTTCAATCAAGTTATTTTATACTGAATTTCAACCTAAAAATATAGTTTTTATAGAAAGTGCAAACATATCATCCACTTTATCAGTTTACACTTAACATAACTTGAAAAGGAAGTGTTTTATTTGTTTGCTTCTGTTAGTTTATGTTTATATATTGACAAAGCTTATGTTTGTCCTAGTAAGGCAATGGGAGGATTTCCAATTTATGGTGACAATATATATGTTTTCCGAATTTACCCTGTCAGATAAGCACTTTAATATCGCAAAGTGTATTTACTTTCATCGAATTCTATGGAAAAGGAAATTGAGGTATATGTCGATAAAACAGCAACCTTCAAAAATAGAAAAAATCTTTATCTGAAAGTTTTCTCTTACTTTTTCTATAATATTTTTAGAAATTTAAAGAGCACAAATGAAACATTAACAAAATTCAAATATCGCTACTGATCGGATTGTTTGACAGGGAAGTTGTGTCAAATTGCTGATTCTGATACAACGCTAATCTTTCCAATTGTCATGTACCAATTTGTCAGCAGTAACAAGCCGTCTGCTTCATCATATTGGGTACACATATCTAAGTAAATACGTTACGCTCGTGCATATTCACAATATACTGACTTCATTTTCGGGAATGTGCACTTTAATAATAAACTAATCCAACAGAGTTATGGTGCATTTTCAATGAATCATTGCTTTTGAGTGTTTGTTGCGTTGAACAACGTCAAGCTTTTTATTTCTTGAAGACTATTGACGATGGGATCAACAAGTTTTTAAGCTCCCTTATCTCTCCCTTTCAAAATTTCACTGGTGGCCGCACTCATGTTACTACCCTCAAAAGTGTTTCGCAGTAGAAGAGGTGAATACTGGACCTAGCAAATGGCTTACAATGTGAAAAGACATTTTTGCCGTATAATAGTAAAAAAACAAATGATGTGGGGTACCTAAATGTAACCGGTAGACTGGCTACTTAATTGAAGTTGATAACGAGATGCAACCCACGACCGGTTGCAGATGTTGTCGATGCCAACGATAGACAATGACCCAGACCTAGTCACTTGCCTGAGAATACTCGCTTTAACTCCATTGATAGAATTAGACACAAGTCCTATGCAGTAGTTAACAATTAAATGTTTTCAGGATGGAATACATGTAGTTTTACAACTTAGGTGGATGCTGTTAGTTCGAATTTTTGACTCTCACTGAAGTAAAAACTTCAGAAAACATATTTAATTAAGAATTTTGCAAGGTTACAATTTCATAATAGAAACGAGATTACAATTAGTACTTAAAGTATTAACAAAAGAATATAATAAAAATCTTTCGCTTGAGTTTAAGGATGAGTAAGAGACAAAGGCCATATAGAAAAGAACCCTTTTAAAAAAATAAAACATTTTTATCGTGAAGATTAGTAAAGAGTTTCCCTTGCATACCAAAATATCATAATAAAAAACAGGATACTTATCTGTTTGATATAAAATCAATTGAATAAGTTCCCGGTGTAAAATGTCAGTAGTACAATTAAAGAGTTTATAACAGAATAGCATCTAGAAAATGAAGGTGTAATCAATCATAATTGCGCTTATTGTAAACAAAATGTACTAGTATCTTAACTGTGTTAGAGCACACACTGTTATTTATAACAAAACAGGAACTAGTCGACTGTTTTGAGAATAATTGATGCTCGTCATAACCAAGTTAATTGTCGACATTAACGTAATTGATTGTCTTGCATGTTTTTAACAGTTTCCAGAGTTTAAATACAGTTAATATTGTCTTAATGTTTACCTCTATCCTGGTATATCAGATGTTTGTATTCCTTTGTTATGTGGTTTGGTAATATCGCCTCTTTTATAAATTACAAATACATCATCTGGAAATAAAAATTGTGATCAAAGTAAGCAAGAATACAAATAACAAAAGCAACTAAAACACCTTTTAATGTTCGACTACTCCCGAACAGAAAGAAGTAATTGAATAAATTGCGACACACTTCGTTAGTTTATTACAAGTAATAATTCGGTGATAAGTCCCTTTTGATAGACTTAAAATATCATTGTGTACTTCTGAATATAGTTCAGCTTAACTAAGTCTGAATACTTTATAATTATATATAATTTATGAAATCAGGAGATAAATATGCTTTCAGTTGCTTCCTAATGATTGAATTTCTATCGACAGCTGATTTATTTTCTTAAATATTTTCCTAACCGGATGCTCAAAAGAATTTGAATAACCCTGTTATAGGGCGTGCCAGCACTATAAGTACTGCTGCCTAGAATAAAGCTGAGTAAACGTAGATATCATGGTCCTTATGCTACATTGTATTTTTTTGCCAATAAGCAGGCCTCGGGATACTTACTTTGATTGACAATTTAATTTGGAAACACATCATACAATAACAGGATATTAAATGACTCCATATCTAAAAACAGTTATGTCTGTTCCCATTTGCATCATTGTCGTACAATGTATCATAGCAAAACAAAAAATATTACTATAATTCTTTTACCCAAAAACGTTGTTACGGTCAGAAATCACCTTTGAATTGTAGCAAACAAAAGACACAAATCAATAATAAAATTTAACAAGATTTATTATACACAAGTTTACAAGAAATATTATACAAATTGAAATGTCAACTTAACTGTTAAAATATATGTCCAATTCTTTAGTCTTTTCTTTATTCGGAATTCTTCTCTTCACTGTTGCGGGAATCTAAACAGAATATTATGTCAAATAAGTCACAATCTAGTATGATGTTGTTCGTAATTAAAAGTGTCAATGTAACAACTGAGAAAAATTCTGAGAATACCAGTTTATTAATGTGTAATCTGAAAGTCTAAATTTAGTGTATGTATATATATAGTTGTCACGGAAATCTCTAGAACACTGTAGAAGGGAAACTCCTAGAAAACTATAGAACGGAAACTTCTAGAATACGGTAGAAGTTTAAATTACACATCGTATGTAAGTCAAATAGAAAGTTCTAATCATTCCATCAGTATCTATGATTGTGACAGTCATTTCGAAACTACACAATTATAACATTATTTTGTAAACAACTATAAATATGATGTTAACATATTATACATGTTATAAGGCCACACAAAACAAATTAGGCCAAGAGAAATAAAGATGATAATAACAATATCATAACACCTCCCCTTTAAAAGAAGTTTGAGTGTAATGAAAACTTTTTATGAACAATATATTAAAAAATATATAGTATGTATACAGTGTTTTAATAAGATCTAGATAAAGCATCTGCTATTACATTATCTTTACCTTTAATATGTTTTACAATGATATTATATTCCTGTCACAATAAACTCCGCCGAGTTAACCTCTGGTTCTATTTTCTCATTTTATGTATGAAGGTGAAAGGATTATGATCAGAAATGTGTTAAATGCTCTTCCAAGCTATCACTACACACAATAAGATCATCAATATAAACATAACAACAGTCTAAATCTTTTATAACATTATTGATCATTCTTTGAAATGTAGCTGGAGAACTTTTCATGCCAAACTGCATTACAGTATACTGAAATAAGCTGTCTGGTGTGACAAAAGCTAATACTTCACAAGCTCTATGTGACAAAGGTACATGCCAGTAACCTTTCAAAAAATCAAATTTGCTCACAAATTTTGCTTGCCCAATATTATCAATGCAATCGTCTATTCTTGGAATCGGATAGGAATCAGATTTTGAAACTGAATT